TTTGGTTAACTCCACTTTTTCAGTGAGCTTACAGTTTTTTGTTTTAGTTTTAAATGTTTTATTTTATTTTAGTCAGTTTTTCTGTGACTATTCGTTTTATTTTAGTTTAGTTGTTAATATTGTAATTTTTAAATATAATTTCAGCAGTTTTTTTCTGTGACTGTTAGTATTTATATTTAGTTTTTAATTTATTGTAATTTATTGTATTTTATTTCAGCTTGTTTTTAGTGACTGTTGTTAGTTTAATTGAGTTTTCATTTATTGTAAATGTTTATTTTATTTAAGTTAAAGACATTGTGCTTGTTCAGCGTTACCTGAGGTTTCAGACGCCACGCTGTCAGCTCTCTGTAGAGGAATCACACCGAGCGAGACTGCACTGCTCACACACTGAGAAACACAGAACACACTTAATAATAAGCAGAAAGCAGACGTGTCGTTATAAACTGGCATGCTTTAATGCATCAGGGCTCAAATTCACAAAACACCAACCAGCAGCTGCTGAACGACAGATGTAGGAGAAAATCATAATGAATAATGAGTGTGTGAATCCTCCATGCTCGCTTTAAGAGTGTTTCAGTGTTCTAGAGCTGAAACTAGATCAGAAATCAGTAAAAGTCTTAAATCACAAAGAAAAAACCCCTAAACCATACTGACGGTTTCCAGAAATAATCCAGTTATCATCAAACATTTGAGCACGATGAGCTTTTAATAGGTGATTATTTTCATCAGTGAGCTTTCCCCATTCAGTCAGAAATGGGTTTTCAAATATATATATATATTACATTTGTTTTGAAATGAACACAAAAAAAAAAAAAAAATGAACCAAAAAAAAAATATATATATATATATATATACACACACACACACACACACACACACACACACACACACACACACACACACACACACATATATATATATGTTCTATAAATAAGAAATTGTCCATTTAAATAGAATAGATATTTTAAAATATGCAAATATAGGTAAAAACATTTGTTGTGTTGTGATGCTGAGCCCTGATTGTGTTGTTGAGTGGTGCAGTGTTAGATTACCGAGGGTGAAGTGTGTGTTTGCTCTGGAGATCCTGCTGCGCTCTTCTGCTGCTGCTGCGCCGCACACACACCGCTCCTCTTCTGTTTGTGCCGTTGAGCCCACGAGGTCAGGGGCTGACTATACACACACACACATGCATGAGCACACACACACACACACACACACACACACACACACGCATGCAAGCATTTACACACACACACACACACAAACATGGCCACACACAGATGAACATAAGCACCAAGATGCATGCACACAAACAAATGCACAAGTACACACACATACAGATACACACAAACACATGCCCACACATCAATGCATGCACACACAGATGCACACATACACACACACACATGCACATGCACGCACACACACACAAGCACGCAGATGCACACACACACACACACACACACACACACACACACACACACACACACACACACACACACACACACACACACACACACACACACAAACACACACAAGCACGCACATGCACACACACACACACACACACGCACACACACACACACACAAGAAAAAAATAACAAACAATTAAAACAAATTACACACACATACACACACACTTGTTTCCTACTGAACCTGAATATTGAGTAGGGGGCGGGGTTTTACTATTGCATCCCTCCTCTCATCTTTCTCTAATGGTAAGAGGGGGCGTGGCTAATCATGTTTCGGCCAATCAGAATCAGAGAATGACTGCTGCTCCAGAGCAGATGAACATGCTCAGATTATGATTAAAGATTTTAGAGGATTAAATCCACTAATTATTCACATAAAGACCAACAACGAGCGCTAGAAAATAAACGATGTACATTTGGATTTCATGCAGATTTTACACCGCAAAAAATACAAATATCAGCAGAAAACATTTATATTTAGAGAAAAAGTAGAATTTGCTCTGGTGTAAATATCAAACATATTCCTAAACCAAGACGAGCAGAATATAGAGTGTTGTGTTCAGAAACACAATGAGGAGAGTTTAACATCAAACAAGCTGAATAACCTGAGCATGGGGAAGAGGGATAATCTAATGTCAACATGAAAACCTAGATTATTCCTCTCCCCCATGCTCAGATTATTCAGCTAGTTTGATGTTGTGTTTCTGAACACAACACTATTTATTCTGCTCGTCTAGAAAAGCTTCTAAGACAGAAACTCAGAGTAAGAAAGGCCAGTGTTCAGTGCAGAGACGTGTATATGAGTGTTCACCTGATGCGTGTGTGTTTGTGGGTGTTCTGGGGGCCCGGGGACGGGGACGGGGTCAGGCTGGGGTTGGGGGACCACAGCAGCGCCTCCTGTCTGCCGGAGTCCAGCGCCTGCTCCCAGGCCGACAGCGTGCCGTACCCGCTGCTCTCCACCGTCAGCATGCCCTCCTCTGACCTGCTCTCCGCCGGGTCCTGTAGGGGTCTGGGGCTGCGGGCGGCGTCCTGAGACGGAGTCTGCCTGTTCTGGAGCTGCACTAAAGCTTTAATTTCATCCTGGATGAGCTGAGAGAACACAAACACCCATTCAGATCTCTCAGAGTTACGCTGTAATGAGCAGCGCATTTCAGCGAACACGAGCTCCGGGATGATGTTCAGTCAGTCTCCATCAGCGGAGTCCCTTTACTCATCAGGGCTCGCCACAGCGGAATGAACCGCCAACTATTCCAGCATAAGTTTTACACAGCGGATGCCCTTCCAGCTGCAACCCAGTACTGGGAAACACCCATACACACACACACACACACACACACACACACACACACACACACACACACACACACACACACACACACACACACACACACACACACACTGATCAGTTCCCCTATAGCGCATGTGTTTGGACTGTGGGGGAAACCGGAGCACCCGGAGGAAACCCACACCAACACGGGGAGAACATGCAAACTCCACACAGAAACACCAACTGACCCAGCCGAGACTCAAACCAGAGACCTTCTTGCTGTGAGGCACCACTGAGCCATCAACATAATAACATTGATAACGAGTAAATGATATAGTTTATACAGGGGTCCGGGCGGCGCAGTGGCGCAGTAGGTAGTGCTGTCACAGCAAGAAGGTCGCTGTGCTGGTTCAAGCCTTGGCTCAGTGGGTGTTTATGTGTGGAGTTTGCATGTTCTGCATGTGGTACAGGGGAATTGGGTAGGCTAAATTGTCTATAGTGTATGAGTGTGTGTGTGAATGTGCGTGTGGATGTTTCCCAGAGATGGGTTGCGGCTGGAAGGGCATCCACTGCGTAAAAACTTGCTGGATAAGTTGGCGGTTCATTCTGCTGTGGGGTTCCCAGATTAATAAAGGGACTAAGCTGATAAGAAAATGAATGAATGAATGAATGAATGAATGCAGGGTCCATGCTGTGATGAACAGCAGATTCAAGAGCGTTTATTTAGAGCATCACTCATTTTAAATCAAGCCCCTCTGCCATAGCCCAGCACATGCAGCACCATTATAGTCTTTACTGCACTTAACATCTCACTTACACCTAATATTGATGTTAAAAAACGTCAGACATTTCCAAAAAGACAGACTGTTTGAAAAGGTCATGTTCAAAGAGCTTTAATAAAGCGTGTTGAGCTCAACACTGCTCATATTCAAATGCAGAGTCTGAAATATTGATAATGCATTATTCCTTATTGTACAAGACTCAAATTGAAGATTTAATTGAAGAATTTCTCAGATTTGACAGGTGAGTACAATAGTTCAGATAAAACCATAACATTTAACATCTCACAACTCTTCACAGTGGAGCTGCTGAGAGTGTTCTCACTGATGGCATCTCCCTTTGGTATGAGCACAGCAGTGTGTCTGACAACAGCACCAGTGAGAGGGTCATAAAGTCAGCTGAGAGGTCTGTTGGAGTGAACATGACATCTATCAAGGAACTTTATCAACGACGTTGTCTGTCTAGGGCAAATAGCATTTTAGGGGACCCAACCCACCCTGGCCATCGCCTGCTCACGCTCATGCCATCAGGCAGGCGTTACAGTAGCCTGAGGAGCTTCAGTGCGGTTTCATCAGTCTTTATCCTGTCAGACGTTTGAATAATACCATTTCATAAACATTATGGATGGCTAGTGTGAAATAATAAATCAATAAATAGTTAAACTAGCATGAATTTTAATATTACAATAAATAGTGAAATAGGTATTTAAGTATTAAGTTATTCTCTTCAGAGATTTTAAAATAGGTTATACAGTATCTGACTTGTATAACTATATTCTTATGGAAATCATTCATTCATTCATTTTCTTGTCGGCTTAGTCCCTTTATTAATCGCGGGGTCGCCACAGCGGAATAACCGCAAACTTATCCAGCAAGTTTTTACGCAGCGGATGCCCTTCCAGCTGCAACCCATCTCTGGGAAACATCCACACACACATTCACACACACACTATGGACAATTTAGCCTACCCAATTCACCTGTACCGCATGTGTTTGGACTGTGGGGGAAACCGGAGCACCCGGAGGAAACCAACGCGAAGGCAGGGAGAACATGCAAACTCCACACAGAAACGCCAACTGAGCCGAGGTTCAAACCAGCGACCTTCTTGCTGTGAGGCGACAGCATTACCTACTGCGCCACTGCGCCGCCTTTTATGGAATTATAAAAGCTTAATTATCATGTTAGGGTTTTATAGTGTCTGTATTGTGGGGTATTTATGTTCTCGTTGGGTCTGTTGCAGCGTAATTAGTTCTGCATTACAGTTCTATTTTAATGTTTTGAATGAGAAAAATAAAGGAAACTGAACTGATGAACAATTTTTATTTAAAATTTTATTCCTATTTATTATTATTAATTATTATTATTATTATTATAACACTTTTTTTAAATGTAAAAAAGTTCCTCTTAGCAGTTATTATTATTTTTAATTGTCCAATGACTTGCCTAATTACCCTAACTTTACCCTGATTACCCTAGTGAAGCCTTTACATGTCTCTGTAAGCTGAACACTAGTGTCTTGAAGAATATCTAGTCTAATATTATGTGCTGTCATCATGGAGAAAAGACATCAGCTATTAGACATTAATTCTTGCAACCACAATCTTTACAAGAATAAAAATAACATTAGAAATCAAAGTCCATCATGAACAAACCAAAAAAGTGTGATAAATAGTAATAATTCTAGTTTATATATATATTTAAATGTATATCTGCATGCTAGTTGATTTAGATTGCACAGAATAAACACACTGATAATTCAAAGTGCTTTACATAAACAAGTATTAAAACAAACATAAAACACAAGTATAACCAGGAGAGAAATGATCAAACACACTTTAAATTGTAATATTCATCAGACAAAAGTGAAGCACAACACTAAACAGCACAATCAGAAGAGCTTTCAGAAATAGAGCCGCATCACTACAGCTGATGAGCAAACACAGACGCATCTGAAACTCACACAAACGTCTTGTCATGTCAGTTTACACTTGAGCAGCTGCATCAACACTGAAGTCTATTTAACTGATTATATTTTAATTCCTTTACAACATCGATGCTGCAAAAGGCAGCGGGTGTAAACTGGCATAGCCAGATTAAGCGTTCACCAGAAGATTATCAGTAAACACCAGCTCCGCATGTCCTCTAGTAAACACTTCAGATCACTGATCACTAATACAGCCAGAGACGCTCATTTCTGTCAGTCATGCAGTGTTGAACATCAGGTGTGTGTCCTGTACCTGTATCTGGCACTGGTACTGCTCCTGCTGGGCCAGGATCTGCTCCTGATACTGTTTCTCCACCAGCTGAAACAGATGCAGCCAGCGGCCCTGATGGAGACACGAACACTGTCAGAGGAACACGAGCACACTCACGCCCGCGGTACCAGACTCACTCTACACAATGCTCTGCCCCTACACTCTAATGGACAGACGGCTGCTTCTCACTCAGGGCTGCTGATTATGCTAATGAGAGGGAGAGACGGGCACTAGTGGGCGGGGCTTTCCCCCTCTGATGACATGTACGCAGGGAGAATGCCAATCAGAGTGTGTCTGCATCACGTCTGATTATAATAAACACAACTCACTCATGATGAGCATCAGAGGCTGCGGGAGATGTTCATACACTGCTAACACACACACACACACACACACACACACACACACACGCACACACACACACACACTGGGTTTAAAGCCCTTCTAGAAGTCATTTTTGAATAATAGGAGCCCTTGAAAGGCACTTGTGCGGCTCTGGCTCGTGTAGTCAGGCATCAGGTGCATTATGGGACACAGTGTGCGTGTTTGTGTGTGGGACACATCTGCGCACCTCACAGTTCCTCCAGATCTGGGGGTCGGTCTCTCCGCTGCTCTGGATCTCCTGCACCAGGGCCCGCAGAGTCTCCATGGAGCTGGGGTTGATGAAGGGCAAACTGCGGCCTGCGCTTCCCAGACACAGACTCCTGCGGGACACACACACACACACACACACACACACACACACACACACACACACACACACACACACACACACACACTTAGTTATTTTAATCAGAATGACTAATAGTGATTAAAGCAACACTACACAGAGCAGATGAGTCAATATGTTATAGAGGACTTTATAAAGCAATACCCCACACGAATATTGATCATCAAGACTCATCAGCAGCTTAAATCCTACAACTTTTTAATATCTTATTCTTTAATGGGCGGCACAGTGGCGCAGTGGTCAGCACTGTGGCCTCACAGCAAGAAGGTCTCTGGTTTGAGTCTCGGCTGGGTCAGTTGGTGTTTCTGTGTGGAGTTTGCATGTTCTCCCCGTGTTGGTGTGGGTTTCCTCCGGGTGCTCCGGTTTCCCCCACAGTCCAAACACATGCGCTTTAGGGGAACTGATCAACTACACTGGCCGTAGTGTATGAATGTGTGTGTGTAAATGAGTGTGTATAAGTGTTTCCCAGTACTGGGTTGCAGTTGGAAGGGCATCCACCATGTAAAACATATGCTGGAATAGTTGGTGGTTCATTCCGTTGTGGCGCCCCCATATCAATAAGGCACTAAGCCGAAAGAAAATGACTGAATGTCTACAATAGCAGCACGTGTGTGTGTGTGTGTGTGTGTGTGTGTGTGTGTGTTTGTTTGTTTATGTGTGTG